GGCGAGGGTGGAGCAGAAGGTGGTGGGTCGAGGACGGGAGAGGAAGGAGGCCGCTCCGTTTCCCTGTTATGGTTTTGCTATGCCAAAAACGAGCTTGTGGAAGCAGAGGCAAGAGAGGGAGCCTGGAAGACGGCGTCCAAGTGAATACACATGTGTGCACAGAATCCCTCCGGTGACAAAAACGCCTTAGTTCCTCACTTTTCCTCCCCGCTGATCTGGGCGCTGCTTTGCGGAGCACTTGCTATTGAAGCCCTCACCGACTCTGCTTTGATAATGTATCAGCACGGACGTGACCAAGGGACATGTCCTTGTTGGGTAGGGGTCTGTGAGCTGTAAGCAACACTCCCAGCACACATAACATAAATATATGTATATTCTGTGTTCCTCAAAGTGACCGTTCCTCTGCATGATACCGCAGGGCAACTTAAAGGCATATTATAAGCCCCACTGGAATTCTGCTGCAGATCTGGACATGGTTAGCAATGCTGAAAGTGCAGGGTTACCATTTCATACCTCTCTTTTCACTGATACTATGAAACACCAGCTCAGGGTTTTTGCGGTTGGCCTTACGTAATTCCTGGGAAGTGCCAGTAAATCGGCACAGAGTATGTAGCACATACACTGCAGAAAAGTTATTTTAGGAATGTCTTAAGTACCTTCTTCTCATGCTTGTCTCCCTGTGCCAGAAAAGCCACATGATGCAGTAGTACTTGGGAACCAAAGTATCAGATGGGATACATTGGTAGAATAGCTCCATCAAGACACACTTGCTTCCTGATTACCTGCGTTGGCTCCAGAGTTAGTTGCAGAGATCAACAAATGTCTACACGCGCTTTTCCATACAGAATAAAGACCTGATGATAACAGTTTCTCCTTGTACTCTCTGGTCTAAAAATACAAGATGCACAACATTTTTTTTCCCCCCAGCCCCCCCACCCATTCTCTTGTTTTTTTTTTTCCAGAGCCAAGAACGTAGCCCAACCAGCCGCATGCCATATTTCTCTGCTTCAGCCTGCTGCCCTATCTGCTCTTTCCACACCTGTCTGAAAATGGCAGATCTGCTTGCGGCACGCTCTCTGAGTAAAAGTATACATAATCTCTTTGGGGACAGATTTGCGGGTGCTGAGCACTTCCTAACTCCAGCAGACTCAGTGGCAGTGCTGAGGTTCACTTCTGCAGAGGTGGCCCGTGGCTTCCTGTAGTCTTCTCACTGTCTTTAATTCCCGCAGAGCTGGTGGCAGGTTCCCCAGTCCTCTGGTGAGGCTCCACTTCTTGGTGCATTTCACCTTGGTAGGGAGGGAGAGGTGCCTTTTCAAAATCCAAGTGCTACTGACATCTGACATCCACTTAATATTGTCCATATTCTCCCCTCTCTTTTGTTGACTTTGGGAAGTCAAGTTGTTGACTTGAAGTTCTTGTTGACTTCGTCTGAGTAATTGATAAAAGACCTGATTTAAGACACTTCACAGAGAGAGATGCAATTCAGTATCACTAAGAATGCTGGAAAGTGCCCTTAGCTTCCGGCATCCTGTATGTGGTATCCCGACCTCCCTGAGTCTCTGAGAGCAGAGAGGCGCCGTAACATGGCCTGCATGAGCAGCAGCTTTGCTATTTGCTGGGGAGGGACCCTGGAGGCTTGGGCAGCTGTGGTCACCTGCAAGATGTTTCTGTCTCTTGCACCATTTTGGAAACCTCAGCCTCAAACATTTTACTCTTTCTAAAGTAGATTGGCACTTCTCTGAAGGACAAGTTTGCTTTCTTTCAATCTGTAGTAAAAAATCATTTGGCTCAAAACCAACTCTAAAACACTGGATTATAATTTTGACCTGAAGCACAGATGACAAAATGATAAATTTGCAAAACTCAGGCATTTTTCAGAGCACATGAATTCATTGGGAGTATTACCATCAACATCAAAGATGTGGAGCAGGATTGAACCTGTAATGTATAGCACTAATGACTACAATCAAATAAACTTATATTGCTTGGGTTTTCTGCTACCTTTTGCCTTGTGTGTGTGCACTTTTATGTGTGTGCCAAATGAGTGCAGAGTGGATCTAGAATGCTACCATTCTGAATCTGTGGCAGTTACACTAAATTGGCAAGAACTGAAATAATGACAGAGGGTGACAAGCCTTGGGGAATTAATCTAGTCTACTTGTTTCCATAAGTCAGTAAAGGAAGTGAGGAACTGAAAACCTTGAAAGATGTGATTATAGACTTGGTGTAGTCTTCAGAAATATTTACAGTTAATTTGATCTGCTTGTACTAACTGGTATCTTTTTACTTGCTTGTGGGGCAGCTCAATTTGATTAAAAATTAGTATGGAATAGTATATCTCTGTAGAAATGCATAAGCCTTCAGTTATATCTTTGTGTATTATTCATCTTTATTATTTATTTTTGCTGTGTTTGGAATAGTGCACCATGTTAGCAGGTAATTGTTTCATTCCTTATAGTTAGTTCTTGCCTTACTGATTCTTCATGGTGCTAGACCTAGTGACAGCAGAGAATGTAAGGTATGATAATAGCCTCTTATTTAACTCAATTGAATTTCTTTTGTTGGCTAATTTTCATTTATGTTTACATCATTACTAAATTGCTCAGTTTTACAACCTTAAACTGTGGATATTTGTTCCTGGGGAAAAAAAAAAAAAAGAGGACTCATCTTTCTACATGTGTATTACATTTCAGTCAGATTAGAGTAAAAGGTCAGAATAAAATATGAATGTCAGTTTTCATTAGCAGCTGCATCAGAGATGTTTTTGTTTCCAAAATATGAAATGTGGTATGGCCTAAAGATTAACTCAAAGAACCTGAGAGTTTGTATCTGTGTAGCCGCATTGGTGTCTCTTTCAAAAGAACAATCAAAACAAGAACATTTTAAAGAACAATCACAA